TATGCATCAACTTTAATTTCGATATGAATCAATTCCAATCTCGTAATGTCGAATTTCGAATATCAAACAAATTTGTTCCCGATTGTTGTTCGGGAAACCCAACCCAACACAATAAATGGGTACTCTGGATTCACGAACATAACTATACATATTTCTTCGAACACTCACATCATGTTATCAAATTTATCCTATAAATATATCTTCGCAAAGACTAATATATATATATCCATAATTTATACATATTATTTGGTTTATATTGTCATAAAGAGCAATAACATCCATAAATTATTCATGTTACTCCGATTAGATACAAAATGATGTTGTTTTGCTTTATGCGTGTGGGTCGGGTGGAAAGCGGGTTGGGCTTTGATAAAATCCAAACTCATCCCAACTCGCCAATCTCAGAAGTGATAAAATCCGCACCTGACACAAAACCAGTCAACATTGGATTTTACCCACTTTGATCGAGTTGAGTCGGATTGGGTACCCATAGGTTCAAATTCAATTGTCATCCCTACTTAGTAGTATACAGTATGCATTTTAAGAGAGTTGTATGATATAGGAATTACAGTTTTGCCCAAACACATTAGTATTTTAATTACTATCCAACCCAATTGAATTGGGTATGAAATCCAAATACATGATAAATGGGTAGAATTTTATGAGTATATACTCATATCCATTCGTTCGGGTTGGGTTTTTAAACCATGAATTTGGGTTTGTACCGATACCTATATGCAAATTACGTTTTGGTACCTGAACTTAATAGATCTCTAGATTTAGTACATAAATTTTAATTTTCTCTTGCACATAAGTTGTAAAAATATCTATGATAATTACCATTTTAGTATCTAAAATTTTGTGTATTATATATTTTCATACCTAACATTTTTAAGTTTTACAAATACATTCAATTTTTGTTTGTGTAGTTAAAACAACCTCAAATAAATGGTCATCCGATCCATACCCAACTCATACTAATTTAGAGTATGGAAGCAACACTCATACATACTCCACTCATACCTTATCCATAATGAATGGGTTTACTTGAGTTTGAGTAAAATTACTCGTGAAGTAATTGACATCTCATGATCTATAATTAAACTTATGTTAACAACTCGAGTTATATATTGGGACCAGTTGGTTTATGAAGTGATATCAAAGCTCTAATTTAGTCAAATGATCATATATTCGGATCTCCACGATCCCAAATGATCATATATTCGGATCTCATGATCTATAATTAAACTTTTGTTAAGAACTCGAATTATATATTGGGACCAGTTGGTTTACGAAGTGGTACCAAAGTTCTAATTTAGTCAAATGATCATATATTCGGATCTCCACGACCCTCAATATCAACAACCGATTTAAGTACAAGGTGTATTATTTTGCTACCCAGAAATATATTTTATTAGGATCCAAATATGATCAAATGCAATGTGTGTTCCCATACCAAAGATAGTTTCCTTTGTGAAAAGATGGTCGATGATCAAAATAGGGGTGGATTCGGTTTGGTTCGGTTATAATTGATAATCGATTGGTCGGTTACCAGTTAACCGAACCACCATCTCCCCCTACCAAACACCGACCGACGCCAATGCCTCGGTTAACCAATAACCGACCGGTCGTTTATCGGTTAGTTGGTCGTTTAACCGAGATAACCGAAAAAATGATGGTGGTTCGGTTTTAACCGGGTAAAATTATTAGAATCGTCTAAAATGAAAGGTCCTAACTTACATCTCTACATCTAAATCACACCCAAAGTAAAGTCTCAATCACTTTTGCATAGAAAATACATCGAAATCACCAAATTAATGTCTCAAATTCAACAACATAAAGTTATAAACTTCATAACCGGGTATTTTCACGTCGTTTTGGTGAGGGGGGTGGTCGGTCGGTTATTTTCGGTTATTGTCGGTTAACCGGATAACCGGTTTTCGATTACTTGGTTAACCGAATTACCTATTAGGAGCTCCGACCACCGAACGAAGCATATAATTTTCGGTTATCGGTTAACCGGTAACCGCCGGTTATCGGTTTAACCAGCCGGTTAACCGACAACCGATAACCGAACCTCCAGTCCTAATTCAAAATGTACATACTTCACCTTAAAAATCCATAATGTGTCGTCTTCAGTCTCGAAGTGGGATCCGTCACCTCACGGTTGTGATGGATTTGTGCAAATTTCAAATCCGTAAGTCTAAAAAAAGGATAAATTCGACAACAACGATCAAGACAAGCAAGCACAAGTGGAAAACAGGGGAAAGAAAGAACATCTCACGTAAGTCCTTACTCTTATTGTTCACAAAACGAACCCTCGGCTTTCCCTCCATATCCGTCCCACCTTTCTCATCTTCTCTCGCCACGGCCGATCGGCTTTCTCTATATATATACATGCCCCAAGTAACATTCATATGAGAAGAAGAAGTAAAAATGGCGTCAATAGCTTTTCTGGTGCGACTTGATCTCATGACGATCTCCTTTGCCGCCACTACGTTTATGATGATCTTAAGCTGCTACGCTGCTGATCAAAAAGATCAAGTGTGCCTTGTTCCTCCAGACCACGGCCTTTTCTACCACGATTGCAGCAACCAGACGCTGCCCTCGTCGAACCTGCAGGCCGACGCGGTGGCCTTCGCAGGGAAGAAGCTGTCCCAGGAGCTCAAATCCAATTCCTCCGATGCCTGCGGCGAGGCCACGTTCTTCGCCGGCGCCGACGACCTAGTAGGGACGTTGTTCTACATCTACGCGGGGTGCGTGCAAGGCCTCGACGGAGGTCTGTGCGAGGATTGCGTCCGGGATGCGAGCAGCGTAGTTAGTTACTACTGTCCCGACGCGGCCTGGGCTCAGGCCGCGTCGGTGTTCTGTTGTGTTCAGTATCAACAGTATCCGTTTTGTTAAAATGTCGTATGTGTTTTTACAACCTAGGCTCAGGCCGCGTCGGTGTTCTGTTGTGTTCAGTATCGGCAGTATCCGCTTTGTTGAAACGTCGTATGTGTTTTTACGACCTAGGCTCAGGCCGCGTCGGTGTTCTGTTGTGTTCAATATCAGCAGTATCCGTTTTGTTGAAACGTCGTATGTGTTTTTACGACATGGTATCAGAGCTATCATTTGTTCATTGAATTTTGCATTTTAGAACTTATGGTACTCATGTTTTAGAAATGTCTAAGAGTAATCCACAAAATCCACTATACCCAAAAAAAATTCTTTACCTCCAAGTTAACTCCACCATACTTATTAATAATATTGTATAATAAAAGGAGTAAGAAAAGATTTCTTGTCAAAAGCTAAATTACCTCATTATGAAAATGAAAATGTATTGTGTACGTCATGCACGATTAATTTGCATTTTGTAAAGCATAAAGTTCCGTCTCTTTCTTGTCTCCGACGCAAAAGACGAATACCAAATTCGAAAAAGCAAAACCCCCCATTCTGAATAAGATATACAAAATTATATCTTCATGAACAACATACCAATATATTACTATATAGTCTAATTGTGAATCGCATATTTGTTGGTGGCGACCATAATGCATGTAAAGATTGAACTTTTGCGGGTATCCACAACCAAACCGTAGTGGGTAGTGGTTAACCACATAATGTGGGACGCGTAACCCAACCCGCACCAATTTTCACCCCTTAATCCATACTCAATCCATGCCCATTTAGCTAGAGTATGAAGGCAATACCCTTACTCTTCTCAAACTCATATATACTTGACCCTGCCCATAATCAATGGGTTTACTTGAGTTTGGATAGAATTACTCATGGTAGGGTAATTTTCATCCCTAGTATGACATATATAATTAATCTTCTCTTAACCACTCGAATTATATATCGGGCCAATTGGTTTGTGAAGTGATATCGAAGCTATAATTTGACTAAGTAATCATATGTTTGGAACTCCACGACCCCCAATATCAACAATTCATTTAAGTACAAGGTGCATTAATTGGCTAGCCAGAAATATATTTTACTAGCTCCAAATATGATCAAATGCAATGTGTGTTCCCATACCAAAGATAGTTTCCTTGTGAAAAGATGGTCTATGATTCAAAATGTACAGACTTCACCTTCAAAAATCCACAATTTTTTTATGTGTCTTCTTAAGTCTCGAAGTGGGATCCGTCACCTCACAATTGTGATGGATTTGTGCAATTTTTAAATCCGTAAGTCTAAAAAGGATAAATTCGATAGAACAACAACGATCAAGACAAGCACAAGTGAAAAACAGGGGAAAGAAGAACACCTCACGCAAGTCCTTGTATTGTTTACAAACCAGCCCTCGGCTTTCCCTCCATATCCGTCCTACCCTTCTCAACGTCTATTTCCCCGCCGCCGAGCGGCTTTCTATATATACACTCGCCAAGTAACATTCATACCATCAGAAGAAGTAAAAAAAATGGCGTCAACAGCATTTCTGGTTCGACTTGATCTCATGGTAATAACTGTGATCACCATCTCCTCTGCCACAACCACGTTTATGATCTTAAGCTGCTACGCTGCTGATCCGAAAGATCAACTGTGCCTTGCTCCTCCAGACCACGGCCTCTTCTACCACGATTGCAGCAACCAGACGCTGCCCTCGTCGAACCTGCAGGTCGACGTGGTGGCCTTCGCCAGGAAGAAGATGGGCCAGGAGCTCCAATCCAATTCCTTCGATTCCTGCGGCCAGGGCAAGTTCTACGGCGAAGGCGGGGACGACGACCAAGTAGGAACGGATTTCTACTTCTATGCAGGGTGCTCGCACGGCCTTCGCCTCGATCAATGCGAGGATTGCGTGCAGGACGCGAGCCGCGTGGTTCGTGGCTACTGCCTCGACTCGGCCTGGGCTCAGACCGCGTCGGTGTTCTGTTGTCTTCGGTATCAGCAGTACCAGTTTTGTGAAAATAATCGTTAGGACGTGTCTTTTTAACTCTTACTGACATGGTATCAGAGCTGTCTTTGGTTCGCCCGGAGAGATCTCTCTCTCGCGATTGTATCCGGATCTGTAATAATAACCCTATAAATACTTGTCTGATCATTTCGATTTCAGTTTGAAGGATGGTGTGTACAGGATGGCACAGAATCTATTGCTCAACATTCTAAACCCTGCAGTACTTCTTAATCATCCCTTGTTTGGATTATGAATAAAAACAAATCAGGCCATGAAAAGAAACCAAATTGGGATGATAGAGATCAAGGAAGAAGTGCTCTACTACATGATGAGAATACTATAAGGTCACACAGATGGGAAACAAACATCAAAAGGATCCTTCAGAATAGCATCTAGCAACACAGAATATTCACTCTAGGATCCATGATAAACCCACCATTCATTCCTTCAGCCGCCGCAGCCGCCTTGTTTCTCAAGCTTTCACACAGCAGTTGAAGTAACTGAAGAAGCTCCTTCTTGCCTGTTCACGGAAATGTTGAGAGAGTTTAAAGACCATAACAAGAAGCTCAACATTCTATTAAAGCAATAGCTCATCAGCTCTCTTCTGTCTTCAGGTACTTTTTTTTTGTTAAGGATGATATAAATTTTATTAAAGACAAGGAAAAAGGAAACAGAAAACAGAAGGGGGGGGGGGGGGGGGGAAGGAAAAAACAGAGACAGCAACAATAGCAGTACGCAGCGAGGAAAAGGAGATTGGACAGCGGACTGCAAGTCCAGAACTCCCTAATTCTCCCCTCCACTTCTACCAGCGCTATAAAATACGATCAATCCAGCGCACAAACGAGAACAAAGGCAGATGTATTAGGTTACATGGACCCTCGACACAATCACACCAAGGATCGCGCACCCTTCAGGAACAGCAGCATCAGAATTTGTTAATCAGCAGCCGGTGGAAGGGGATGATCCGGGACAGGATTGACTGTAGGAAAGAGTCTTGCTTTCATCTCGTTGAACCAGCTTTCCGCAACTTCTTTCTCGACCTTTCTGTTTGCCACTAGCCACCAAAAGATTGCATGACCAATCTTCAAAGCAGCGAGCTGAATTGTGCCATCCACTTCTCTAAAAATTCTTGAGTTCCTTTCGAGCCAAATGTGCCAACAGAATGCATGAAGGGCCACCCTTGTACACCACTCTGCAGGATTGTTGGGCTTGTTATGTTGCCACCTACGAATTCTTTCCGAAATATCACCAGCTTCTTCTACTCTGTTATCAATCTTCACAAAACTTTTCAGGATGCACCACACCTGTCTTGAAAATCCGCAGCTTGTGAAGATGTGATTAGCAGACTCCTCTTCAACCTTGCAAAGGGCACATCTGTTCGGCAGGCTTATACCCTTTCTTTTGAGATTGTCGATGGTGAGAATCCTTTTGTGGAAGACCAACCAAAGGAAAATGCAGATCTTGCTTGGAATGATGCAGTGCCAAACTGTCTTTGATGGGAAGTTCTCGACTCCCTTGAAGCGAGCAGCCGCGAAGTGTTCGAAAGCCGAATGCACACTGAAGCTAGCTGTCGGAGACGGACGCCAGATCGGTCTTTCTGGACCTGCAAAAGAGTTATGAGAAGGGATAGAATTAAGAAGATCAAACAGTCTCACTCTCTCTCTTTCAGCCCCACCCCGAAGAGAATGCAATAATGGAATATTCCAAGACACATTTCCCTCAGAAAAAGATAGGTAGTCGGCGATCGTGGAGTTCGGGAATTCAGCCGCGGCACACACTCTAGGAAATTCATCAGCCAAGCGGATGCCATTCACCCAAGTATCGAACCAGAACGAAGTCCAAAACCCGTTTCCATGATCAATGCTAGTTAATTTCCAAAAAGTAGACTGAAGTTTCATTATCACAGCCCAAGGACTCCCACCAATTCTCCCCGATCTATTTCCAGGATACCATTCTGAACACTGGTTGGGAAACTTGAAATTTATGCACTCTCTCCACCAAGAAGATCTTTCCGTAGCATATCTCCAATGCCATTTCATCAAAAGAGCTTGATTATGAAGCTCGAGGTCACGGATGCCTAAACCTCCTCTTTTCTTGGCTGTTTTACACAAATCCCACGAAACAAGGTGGAATCTCTCCTTTTCCTGAGTCCCTGACCACAAGAAATCCCTCTGGATCTTCTCCAAGGTTTTGATAACATTCTTAGGAATCAAGAAGAGTGAGCTCATATATGTGCACTGGCTCGCAAGAACCGAGTTGATGAGCACAACTCTGCCTCCTAAAGACAGCAGCAACCCTTTCCATCCTTCCAATCTATTCTGCGTTCTGTTGACAATTTTATCCCAATGTGAGGTTGGAGGAGATTGGCACCCGAGAGGAACGCCAAGATAAATGGTTGGCAAGAAGGCCCACTCACAGCCAAAGATCTCGACTAACCTGTCAATGTTCGGAACATCTCCAACAGGAAACATTTTTGTTTTCTCAAGGTTTATCTGCAGTCCGGAGATAGCCTGAAAGCACACAAGAGCAGCCAAAGTATTACGCACCTCATCTTCATTAGCCTCGCAAAACAGTATGGCATCGTCTGCATACAGCAGGTGAGTAATTTCCCCTTGCCGATTTTCCTCATCAAAGCAGAAACCATTAATGTGCCCGGCATTCTTAATTTCGCAGATGATAAAGGAGAGGATATCCATGCCTATGTTGAAAAGAAACGGTGACAGTGGATCGCCTTGTTTGATGCCTCGACTCATACCGAAGAACCCGATGGATTCCCCATTGATTAAAGTGGACAATCTCGATGATGCAATCATACCTTTAATCCATTTTCGAAATCTAGAGTGAATTCCCAAATGCTCCAAAGCTTTGAGAATACATTCCCAAGATATGGAATCAAATGCCTTCTCTATATCCAGTTTGATAACTAGCCCAGGCTTTCCGCTTCTCCTTCTGCTGTCTATTACCTCGTTAGCGATCAGACATGATTCATGTATAACTTTGCCCCTTTTCCCTGCAAACTGGTAGTCTGAGATGAGATTATTCACATGGGGCTGTAGGCGATTGAACAGTACCTTCGCGATGATCTTATTTACACTTCCTAAAAGGCTGATTGGGCGAAAATCTGAGACCATCTCAACAGAATCCTTCTTGGGCAGCAAACATATGAAGGCATGAGCGATCGACTGCGGAAGAGAACCTGCAAGAAAGAAGTCATCGAAGGCCTTTAACAGATCGGATTTGATGATGCCCCAAGCTTTTTTGAAGAATTCGATCGTATAACCGTCTGGCCCCGGAGCTTTGCTTCCATTACACTGACTTATGGCTATCCAAACTTCCTTCTCGGTGAACGGCACTACCAACGCATCGCTGTCCTCAAGAGAAACCCGACACTCTCTATATCTAGTCGGGAAAGGTCTGTCTTCCTCTTCTTCCATATACTTAGCTGTGAAGTGTTCTTGAAATGCACTTTTGATTTCATTTCCATCCTCCGTACTTCTGCCATCAATCACAATTCTTTTTATCTTCTTCCTTCTGCTTTTAACTTTTGCCACCCTGTGAAAATACCCGGTGTTCTTGTCGCCCACTTGAAGCCACACTTCTCTAGAACGCTGCCGCCATGAAATCTCTTCCATGATAAGGACTCTTTCAAGCTCACATTTGAGAATGGCCTTCTCCGACACCAAAACAGGATTAAACACCCCTGCATCTTCAGCTTCATCAATGTTCTTGATTCTGATTAGGAGCTCAGCAATCCTTTTTTCAACTTTGCCAAAGTGTTCACGGTTCCACTGTTTTATCAGCAATTTAGACTGTCTACTCTTTTGACCGAATCTAACTAAGTGACTGGTCCCGTTAACGGGAACGTTCCACCATCCCACAAGACTCTGCAGGAAAGAATCCTCTTGTAACCACATGTTCTCAAATCTCCAGGGATGCTTAATGCGTTCCATAATCCCCCATTGTAACATAATCGGATTGTGATCCGATTCGACTCTATCAAGTGCAGTAAGTGCATCCGGAGATACCATCTGTTCAAAGCTTGTGTTAATCAACGCTCTGTCAATTCGGGACGAAGATCTGTTCGATCCGCCTCTGCTCCAGGTATACCTCGCCCCCTGTAATGGAAGTTCAACGAGATTACATCTGCATATCATACTATTAAACTCTTCCATGATCTCGCAATCCCGAGGGCAGCCCATGAAATCATCTTCTGTTCTAACAAGATTGAAGTCACCAATGATACATAGAGCAGCCAAATACTCCCTGCAAACCATCTCAATCTCTTTCAGAAATTCCCGTTTCTCCTCTTTTTCCTGTGGACCATATACAACTAAGAAGGATATGATCTCCTCGGTCTCAATAATCTTTAGCCTAACTGCCAACGAAAAACGTCCTTCCCAAATCGTAAGGGCCTTATAGATTGTAGGTTTCCAGAAAATTGCGATACCGCCACTTGCTCCATTTGAATTCTTTGCAACCCATTCACTGTCCTTGGTGCCACTAATAGAGGATATCAAACTATTGTCGCACGACTTCCATTTGGTTTCCGTGAGGCCAACTATAGACGGATTCCATCTCTTCAACAGCCTTTTAATCTTAGCTCTTTTGTTGGGATTACCTAACCCTCTCACATTCCAAGCAATAACAGAATGAATCATCAGGATCAATTATTCACTGTAGTACCAAGATTCTCGACAAGCTTCACTGGGAGGATCGATTTCGGGATCTGTAGATAGGGGGAGGGGAGTCCAGACCCAGCCTGCGTAACTCCATTTCTAATTTAGACCTCGATTCTCTCTTCCTCTTCCGGTGAGTATCTGCCGCAATCAGGCTGACTTTTTGTTTTGCACTATCAGCAGAGACCGAATCCGACAATTTGAGGATATCACAGAACAGCTTACACTGTGAGACCAGACTCAACAAATCTTGCCTGGACCGCCACGATTCGAAGTATTCTGAGTTGAGAGGATTATAGATAGTGATCGCAAGGCATTCCTGGGCAGCAAGTTCGGGGGAGACAAGGAACGGGGAGGCAGGGGAGCTCCAACATGAGTTAGGCGAGGATGGGCTAGAGCTTTCGTCAGGGATAGCGGTATCGACATTTTGGGGTTCAGGAATAAGGAGTGGCAAAGAGGAATTTAGTAGACAAATGGGGTCGGGATGGAAAGGAATCGAAGGGTGTCTGTGAATAATGGATTGGGGGATGGAAAGACTGAGAAGGGAAATGACAGAGTCGAAAACAAGAGCTGGGGAGAAAGAGAGAGGTTTGCACAGTACTAAGGAGGGGTTGGGCTTAGGGGGTGGGTTAGGAAAGAAAGCAGAAGAGGTTACGGCAAGGGCTAAACCGGGCCGCCCAGAAGAGGATGGGCCGACGGGGAGGGTCTCAAAGGTAGTTATGGGCTCAGGTTCACTGGGTTCACAGCAGGGTGAGGGAGGTTGTGGGCTGGGAAGGGGAGCAGAAGAGGCTAGGACAGGGGCTAATCCCGGATGCCCAATAGAAGCTGGGCCGACGGGGAGGGTCTCAAAGATTGAAAAGGGCTCGGAGTCCATGGGTTCACAGAAGGATGGGGGGTGGTGAGATATGGGCTTGGTTGGTGGGCCGTATTTCCGGACCCAGATTTTCCTGATCCCAGATGCATGACCCGGTTTTAATTGCTGAGCGGGGGAGAACTCCACTTTCTTGCCAGGAGACGGCACTGAAGGAATCGAGGCGTTGCTCGGTTGCAACGAGGAAGTGGCCTCATTCGCAGCACACGAGGCACGTTCACGGTTGGACAGTTTCCTTGCACAGCACGATCTTGAGATCTGATCCAGAAGACGGCGACGGTTCAAGTCCGCCATCGGCCGATCAATCTCCGGCACCGGAATAATTTTGGCTACAAAGACTGTGCAGCCAAACCTGATCGGCAGGATTTCCGGCAGAACACCCCTTGGTCGAATCTTGATACGGACGTATGGATCAGACCAGGCGCTATGATCGGCGTCTATGAAACCCCCACACAACTGACCTATGTTCTTGAATACATCCGCCGACCGAAGAAAAGGAGGGATGCCGAAAACCAAAACCCACTGAAGCCCACCTTGCGGCGCGAAACAACGCCCGTCTTCCTCCTTCCAATATCTCAGAATGACATTCCATTGACGAAATTTAGCGTAACCATCTTCTTTGACCCTTATAGCTTCAGGCAAGGAAGTACAAACTAGGAACCAGAGATCCCCGACCCTATTAGAGAAGCTTGTTTCTTCAGGCAGGTTCCAACGTCTTCTAGCCCAGTGCATAAATTCTTCCGAAAGAGCGGATGGTAGACCCTGATTCTTTTTATCAAAGAAGCTGATCGAAAGGCATCGGTCGAGGAAGTGCAATCTATCAGGAACTCCATTCTCTTCAACCTGTAGGAAGGGTAGGGAATTATGTTTTTTGATGGCGCTCTTCCCCTCTTCCAGTGAGAAACTCTGCTTAACAGCCTCAGCGTAGGATTTTCCTTGAACAAGCCAGGCATTCCTCTGTATATGCTTCTTCGGATAGGACTTAGTCACCTGTTGGTTCAACCTGTTAATCAATACTCCCCACTCACTAGGGACGAAAGGAATGCATATGGAGAACACTCTACCAGTCGGGATTCTTTCCGAGATTTTGAGAAAGCATCCTTCCCGACAAGCTAATCTGTCGACAGAGATGGCACGAGAAGGTTCTGTCCTCCGGTGAAAAGAGTTTGATTCCCAGCCCCTCTGCGATATATCTTTTAGTGTTTTACCGAGCCACACAGCCTGGGACACTTCCAAGTAAATCAATCTCCTGCGCCGAGGTTCATCTGATGAAATCCTAACAAGCCTCTTCCTTTTTGTAACATAATCCTCAATGACAACAGTTCTGTGCCCAGATATCGTCTTGAAATGAAAAGCTTCCGACCTGTGCTGACAAAAATCCGATGAATTGTTACCCGCTGACACCCGATCCACCGCCGCGTACCTGCAAAAAGACGAACATTCACCAAGACTCTCACCCCCGCTCTCTCTCACCTCTCTCTCTCTCACCTCTCTCTCTCTCACCTCTCTCTCTCTCATCTCTCTCACGCCTGGTTGGTTTCATCCAACATCTTTTCAACCGCGTCCTTAAATGCGTCGTGTGAGAAGAAATTCAGATCTAAGGAATTTTCAAAGAAAATGGCAAAAGGTTTCATTTTGATCTGTTGAGTTGGCTTGTTGTACCAAATACATGCAGAAGTTAATAGGTCAGTCGTGTACTTCTGCTCACCACTTTCCAGACAGTGCACAGATATCTCCATCATGTTCAAGGAAATGAAACAAAAAGAATAATTGAATTGGTTCATCCCTCTAGTTAATCACTGTCCCCAATATCGTATGGCATGTGGGCCTGCTAAAGGGTTAAGGTTTCTTGACAGACAATCAGCCTCCAAGGACACCCTTTCTTCCTGGTGAGGCCACCAACCCAGAAGATAGAATTCGGGCCATAAGTAGATCACTTAAAACCCAATCCATATGCAAGGTTCAAAATTAGAAGAACGGCCGAGAACCATCACTATCCTTATCCTAACAACTCGAATATTATCATTAACGAATTTACTTTTTCTTTTTTCCCCTTCTTTCCGACGAGTAAAATGGATCTCTTATCGTTCCTTCAAGAACCACTTCAAGTTGAAGTTGAAGAATGGCATGACTCATGACTCGTTTTCTTAATCCTCTAACTATAGAATGACAGCAGCCGACGACGAATTCTATAACAAGTCACAAGTATATTCTATACCATAATCTGTTGATTTCAAAGTCCTGTAGCGAAATGTCAAATCCGAGATATCTCTTGCACATATATGATTTTAATATGACAGCTCCATTGGTAGCAGCCTTAGAACAAAGCAAGGAACCCAAGATTTTCTTCCATGATCCCACCTCGAAAAATCAGTATTCTAAACAAAGTACATTCATTCCCAGAGGAATTTAAAAATACTAAAGCTTCTCTCCTACCCAAAAGTAATAATATAATTCCAAAGCTCTCTCCTTTCTCAACAACTCATGACCCCATCAAACCCTCCCCACATGGCACACCCCATTTGCAAATCCATAGTAGCATTGATATCCTTTTATTAATGGTTGGCCCTCTACCTAATTAAATTCCTTCAACTACTCTCTGTCCACAGTTGTATCTGTACCATTTAGATCACAAACTGACATTGTTATTATCTATGGTTTAAAATGCAGAGGAAAGCTCAACTTGACAAAGCTTGACATAATTCTACTTTTTCCCTCCTAAATGACAAATATGATATGAAATTAGCTCTAGTTTGATGACCAATATGGTGCACTCCAATTTGATAGAGGTGTTAACATCATCTGAGTAATATGTTTCCATTAACATTCAAGATAACAAGTAGGCGAAATTTAAGTGTCATGCCATATTTGTCATTTCGAAACTACAGCTACTAGGCCTTATCAACACAGAACAAGAAAGGAAAGAAGAAGTCTTACAGTGGGGGAGTGTTGTTGGTGGTTGCTGTGATGGTACTGCTGTGGTTGATTGTCATTGTTGTGGCTAGCTTTGGGCAGGTTTGCGGTCGGGTTAATGAGTTCTTCCTCATTTCCCAGACTGGCCCTGGTTTTGTTCTGCTTCCTCATTTCCCTGATCTTCGAGAAATCCATGGAGTAGTCTGGCAATGGACCCTTCTGATCCCAGTCCCCAAATTGTGGCACTGATAGCCATGGTGCATTCCTCTGCCAAAAAAAAAAAAAACAAATGTTTGATTAGCATTAAAATGTAGTTTGGATGTAGTGACTGGCAATACTTAATTTAGCAGAAAGTGAAGAAATTTACAATTCAGAAGATCTCAAATCTCAATTTATTGCTGTTTATTTTTGCCTTGTTCCTAGGTGGAAAGATTGCAGCCCAAAATCTAGGACTCCAATCAATGGACTTCCCCCAAAACAAATCTACAGTAATAGGAAACTAGAAATTAATAAGTGGATAGGAACACTTCAACCAAGATACTAAAAATTGGGGATGGGAATGGAATGACAAAAGGAGGGGAGGCAAACATAGTTGAAATTTCCACAGCTGTATTATCAAAAAAGGAAATTTTCAACAGCTGGAGAAAAGTCTTTTAAGCTATCATTTCTATCTCTATCCACAAGTCAAAACAAAATTGGGAATAATAGAAACCTGGCCTATGTGAATTGGACTGTTTCTCGTTGTTGTGTAGGCAACCTCTCCTAAGAGAGCCAACAAATTGGAAATTTTCCCCAATGTTTTGCTAAGGTCTAAGGCCATTGTGATGAAGAACACAACAATGGAGAACATGGCACAGTTAAACTAGTATAAAAGGAAAGCATTCAACATTTTGCTGGTGATTTATAAAGCAAAATGGGGCAAAGAAAGGTAAGAACATGTAAGCAAGGAATGACCAAAAGCAGCCATGGCTAATCATTGAGGAGGTCTCCTGCTAGCTGCTTAAGGTGGTAAGAGGAAAGTGAACGGGACCCAGAACGCGAAACCAACGAAATGAATAAACCCAGGAATCAAATTCCCTCAAAATTTTCTCAGGAACCAACAAGAGGGAAAGAAAATCTAAACAATTTCCTTCTCTTCCTTTTTAATCCAGCTCCAGCTAGCTACTTAGCTGGTTTGGGAGTGAGAATAAGCTCGACCCAGGAAGCAAACCAACGAAAAGAACAAGACCCGGGAATCAAAATCCGAACTTTTCCTCCATTTTCTCAAGAATCAAACAAAAGAGATCAGAGAGAGGGTGAAAAAGAAAAGCTACCTCCTTGCGATCCTCCATTAGAGACTGAAACAGCTCAAGCCTGAGATTATGGTTCCTCCGGCTCCTTTCTTTTGGACAGTGAAAGGATAACAGAGATATGGAAAATGAAGAAAAAAGTATATAAAAGGGGGGAGACGAGACGAGTTGTGACTGTGATGTGGAGGAGAGTCGTCGTTTGCCGCGTCGGGCAGCGCAGACAGTGCCGTGTGCCAATGAATGGAGGAGCGAATAACGAAAACGAAAGAGAAGAGGACACAGTGGAATTACGGGAGTGGATTTTATAGAAGGGAAAGGAATGGTTGGTTACAGGGCTCCAGCACGACGACAGCTTGGTTTGATGTGGCTCACTCGGGAAGAAGGAAGGAAGGCAGTTGCCTTTCTCGACCACTTTTTTTTCCTCTTTCCTTCTTCTTATTTTGGGTTGATGCCTAAATGGTCACCAAACTTTAGTAGTGATTATTGCCAAATTGGTTGTCCATTTTTTTTTTTTTTTGACAATTGGTTGTCCAATTTTGATTTCTAACAAACTTTTTGTCTTTGAAGTTTGAAATGTCTAACATATCACCATCATTCAACACATTGTCATTGTGTTTTCTCTCTCGTTCCGATACGTCATACGCTGCTCCAAACAAATCGATCTAAACTCTACGTCACCCTACAAAGAAGACATTGGTTATTAACGATCTTGAAATGCATGGTGACGTATCGCATCCATCAACAATCCATGTCGTGGCTGACAAACAACTAACTAGGAGTATTGCATCCTTTGAAAATCACACCATGGATGCAAAGACTATATCTTCCATGAAAATCACACCATGGATTTGAGTTGGCCATATCAAAGAGACCCCCCCCCCCCCAGCAAAGAGAGACATGCACAACCAAACTCGAAGTACTTCAAAGTTGAAACCACCTAGCGCAAAATTGTATTAGAATTTATCTTTAACGTGTATGAGGGGATCGAAGAGCACCTGTCTAGGAAATCGAACATGGGGTGCAAGGTCAAAGGGAAGAGCAAGGATAGTTTCAAGAACTTAGTGGGAGCATCGGGTGACAAGGAACCACACAAGTGTTGGAGCAAAAACTATGAGAAATCTAGATCATCTAAGATAGAAAAACATACCCCTACAATAGGAGGGGAAAAACATATTCAAGGGATACAAAACTTATCATCAAATTCAACAAGCAAGCAACAATATTTATCTATTGCCGATTTTTTATTTTCCATATTACTCTACTAAAGCTTATTTTATTTTGTTTTGTAATGGAATGGAATGGTGCTTCTTACTTTCTCCTTTTTAATAAGTTGGTCTTACTTACTTTGTAACTAAAGCCATCAATTGGTGGTTATTACGGTGCTAATTAAGCATTTGACTGATGATCATATACGACTATAAATTAAACAATCCAAGACATTACTAACCAATCATTTGTTTAATTAATATAATCACTGTATAATATTCTCTAATTGGAATCACAACTAGGATGGATGGATTGATTCAATTCAACAATAATGGCCGGTGCTGATCATTGGCCTTCAACATGATTAGTTAATGGTTATTATTGATATATAACACTAATCCCCCTCTGTCATAAAAGCCATTAAGCAACATCCAATAATATATCCTCTAGCTAGTTGTCCAATAATATTTTATAATCTAATGTTCGAAGGTGTATAGTTTGAATCGTGTGAAATCAATAATTCTTTGTTCATTTTTCCCTCCTCTTAATTATCGTGATAAAAATATTGTTACTCATTATGGTGGAGGATATGAAAGCCTGAAAATAGAAATAGTATTTAAAATCAAACCGGATATCGATTCGGATTAATAAGAGGTTCAAAATTTAGCGAATAATCGGTGGTTAACCGATATTAAAAACTGTTCATAAACATGTGTTGGCTTATTTGGTAGAGCTAACAATTATTGTTTCACATATTAGAAGATATGTGTTGATTTGTTCTTTATCGAAAATAATAATATCTTTCAAACAATACATATATAATATAAATACATAAATTGATTAAAAATTCATCGATGTAAACAATCCATAATCCAAACAGGGCCTTAAAATAGCTCAATTTGTTGAATGGCCCATCATGCTTGGAGAAGGCCCAATAGTTTCTCAGCCTAGTAGTACTTATTGGGTTAGGATGGTCCAATCTTAATTACAGAAGAATTAGTAATTAAATTAAATGAACAAAAAAGGAGGGTAAAAATGGCCATGGCGTCCATCTAATTTCTAAAACCCAAAACCCTCGCCCGCGCTCCGCCGTCTTCCGTCTCTTCTTCCCCAGCTCGTTCAGCCGCTGCCGGAGTAGTACCTCTCTCAGTCCAATCGCCTCCCCACTTCCCGACGTCCACGAATCATTACTCTCTGCCGGCAGCTGAACTCCCTCTCCTCCTCTCCATCTCTGCAGCGTCCCCGCATTCCTTCCCTAATTCTCCCCTTTCCCCTAACTGGACCTCGTATTTCTTCTGCAATCGCTTCTCTTCAAGGTAAAGCTTGAATCTTTATACCCTGATTCGCAGTTTGAATGCTTTAGTCGGTTCCAGTCAGTGGTTTCATTATGGTGAGACTAATTCAGACGTTCATTATTGTTGGCTTTGTGGCAGTATACCGTTGTGGAAATTACTGTTTGAGTTGTTGTTGGAAGGAAGGATGGGGATATTCGAGCCTTACAGAGCGATTGGGTACATAACGAGTGAAGTTCCCTTCTCCGTTCAGCGGTTGGGTACTGAGAATTTCGTCACAGTCAGCATAGGGAAGGCTTTCCAGGTTTACAACTGCTCTAAGCTCACTTTGGTGCTCGTCAGCCCTCAGCTTCCTGGCAAGATTCGTGCTCTCACCTCTTATCGGGACCTCACTTTCGCGGCGTATGGTAGCCACATTGCTGTTTTCAACCGTGCTCAGCAGGTTAGTTTTTGGTTTTCAGCGTGAATGCTAGTCTGAGTAGAGTGGATTCAGTGAGCAGTTTTGGATGTGGAAAGCTTCTGTTTTGAAAATGAATCCCCAAGTGCTGTCTTTCTTTCGCATTTACTGGGTGATGGTCGGGAAAGCTATGAAGGGAGTTTGACAAGTTGATTTCTTTATGTTCAATGCGTTTGTGTGGAGAGGAAGATGAATGATCCATATGTGAAGGATTATCTAGTGGTTTTCAGCTTGTTCATTTAGATTAAATTCTTAGTGGACTCATAAATGTGTTGAATTTGCAGGTTACTACATGGAGCAGACATAGTGCCAAAATTGGTCGATTGTTGCTATTTGGAGAACATGTCCTAAGTGTTGATATCGATGGGAATTTGTTTATATGGGCTTTTAAGCCTATTGAAGAGAATCCTGATCCAATTGGACGCATCAAGTTGGATGATGGTTTCACTCCCTCATGTATAATGCACCCAGAAACTTATCTGAATAAGGTGATAATCGGTCTTTCATATGAAGTCCTATATTTCATGTTTTTGTCTGAGAATGGTTCTTACTGGAAATTGTGTTGTCAGGTAGTGCTTGGGAGCCAGGAAGGTTCAATGCAGCTGTGGAACATCAGTACAAAGAAAAAGCTTTATGACTTTAAGGGGTGGAAGTCATCAATTACCAGTTGTGTGTCATCACCAGCACTCGATGTGGTTGCTGTGGGTTGTATTGATGGGAAGATTCATGTACATAATATTCGGTATGATGAAGAGTTGGTCACTTTTACTCATTCTAGCCGAGGTGCAGTGACAGCCTTGTCATTCAGTACAGGTAATTGCTTGAAGCTGGCTGATCAGATGGGTGGTCAGATGGGTGGCATTTAATATTTTTGAGCTTTTTCTTTGGGTAACAGAGGGGTATCAATTGAACCTTCTTTAGTTTAGCTTATGGAGATAATCCTTTTTAAGTACCTGATCCCCTACCTTTCAATGTTCTTATTTGGTGCTACTTACTTATTTCTAAGATCTTATCAACTGCATGTCTGCATCTGGAGTCTGCGTTGACATGCTGGTTTTTCATCAATAGATGGACAGCCACTTTTGGCATCTGGAGGTTCATCCGGTGTTATTAGCATATGGAATCTTGAGAAAAGAAGGCTTCAGTCGGTAATTGGAGAGGCTCATGACAGTTCAATTGTCTCTTTGCATTTTTTTGCCAATGAACCTGTGCTAATGAGTGCCGCAGCAGATAACTCCATAAAGGTATAAAAACTAGCTCTACTGGTTTTCTGAATAAGTAGCAATTTACAATGCATGTAAGCCAGTGTATGCTATATTTTATAGATGTGAAGCTAATTGCTGCAACCTGTGTAAGCATTTCTTGCTTATGTTGCTTTATCGGCTTGCAATTTAGTGGAAGTATGATACACACATATTCTTCCCTTGCTTTGTTATGTCTTTTCGTTGTGCGGAATTACCTAATTAGAGTGGTCTTCAGTTTTCTTCTACTTTGTATTGGACTATTGGTTTTTCTATATATCATTATACAAAATATGGTAACTTGACTTTTGTTCCTTATGTTTAATCCCATCTCTAAAATGTTGTTTGTTTTGCTCAAAATAAAGTTAGTGTCAACTTCTGGCTGAATCACCATGTTCATTGGAACTACAATAACTAAAATACTCTTAGATATTTTCAATTCTGATATAAATCAGATCTCACTTTTAGATGTTCTGGTGGTCCACTGTTAGTTCGTTATCGCTTTCTCGCAGTGGGGTGTTAAACATAGCTCTCTTCCTTTTGCTTGCCAATAGATGTGGATTTTTGACACAAGTGACGGGGAGCCTCGCCTGCTACGTTTTCGAAGTGGACACAGTGCTCCTCCACTTTGCATAAGGTAGGAAAGGATGCCTATCCATCATTCATTTCAGTTGGCAACCCTATTGATTCTTGCAGTTTTATTGATTCGAACTACCTGTTCACAATGTCCTAAACAAGGTGGATGTAGAATTGAAACACAATCAACCAATAGTATGTAAAAATAATATGTTAAAAACTATAGCATCATTCTTATGGGAAATTCTGTCTTTCTTCTCCTAGTACTCTCAGGTTCATGCAACATCTAGCTTTTTGAACTCATGGGTCCGTTCCAGCCTTGCAGTTTACTTCCCAGCAAGTTCTACTATTTCATCTATATATATATTCCGTGGCATGACATGATTTATCAATCTTGCTTTGAAATTGTAATAGCTTCTATGCAAATGGGAGACACATTCTCTCTGCTGGTCAGGATCGTGCATTTCGGCTCTTCTCTGTTATCCAGGTTTGGTCCATACAAAAAAAATTCTTGTGTTATGAACAGTTCAAATGATATGTGCGAAGTTCCATGCCTACTTGAGTAATTATTGTACTGAGTTTTGTACTAATGCTTTGTGTCTCTGCTGTTCCACTGTTTTCTTACTTCTGAATTCTGATGCCGGCCTTTCCGCTGTCGCAACGACTATATCTTGCATGTCAGTTTATGGGTTTGGTACAGCTGTTTTTAGGAGTGTTTTCCTTAGAAAATAATGGTGATGAACAAAATTAATTCTCCAAATTATGGTTATCACTGTATTAAGTCTACCTCTTGTCCCCCTTTCCTTTCTCGAAAAGAGAACTAGGGGAAGAACAATAACTTCTATGTCTTTTGTATTGCATATGACGTATACTTGAATTCAGCATTGCTTGTTGAGTGCTTGTGGATTGATGTACTCAATTTACTTGTCATACTGTATCCAGGATCAACAAAGCAGAGAGCTGTCACAGCATCATGTATCAAAACGTGCCAAGAAACTCAAACTCAAGGTATGCTTAAGTAAAAATACCACCAACATATCTTTCTTGGCCAAAGGAGAAAATGAATTTGGAATATACTTTTAGGCCGTCATTGCATCTGTTTGTCTTTTCGCTACTGATCGCTTCACACACTGGTGTTTGCCCTGAATTTTACTCATTTATGCTTCCAACAAGGCATTGTGCTTCGCTTCTTATCTATTTATTTTACAGACCTGTCAGCTTGTTTTCCTTGAAGAAAAATCCAGAAAATCAATAGTGTATCTGATGGAATTGTTTAACAAATGGCTGGAGTTTTCCTGAATGAAATATGTTTGCTGCTCTCATTTACCACTTGTTGGTTCAAGCATCTTTTACCTGATACTGAAGTACACGATACTCATTTCCTCAGATTGTATGTTTAGCATGATTTGAAGATCCAAATGTAGAAGTTATACAATAGATTCCAAGTTTTGTATGTAGCAGTTATCTACCACTAGACAAGGCTTGATCTTATAGTCTAAACATTCATGTCGGGCAGTTGCATGTTGGTTATCCCTTAATCTGTGCAGAAGTGCTAGTCTAGTTTTTCTACTAGAAATGTGGTGCTAAGTTTTTTCCCCCCTTCCTCAGGAAGAGGAGCTGAAGCTGAAGCCTGTTATTGCATTCGATTGTGGTACTATTTCAGTTCAAACCATTTGAAATTTTATAGGACTTCTATGTTTTTCTCTGTATCTCATTATATATATTCTGCCATTCACTTTGATGTAGCTGAAATTAGGGAGCGTGATTGGTGCAATGTTGTTACCTGTCATATGGACACATCGGAGGCATATATATGGAGGCTTCAGAATTTTGTTCTTGGCAAGCATATCTTGAGACCATCTCCGCAGAATCCAACACCTGTAAAGGTTAGAGTTATTCTCTTGGTTTGGAGTCCCATCGTTTGGGTTCTCCTTTCCTGGTTTTCCTTTCTGCATAAAACAAAATGTTACTTTGAGTTGTTTCGGTTGGGTGCGTCAAATCCTTACCCGAATGATGCGACGCTTTAGTGTGAAACTGGAGATGCTGGACGGTATTAAAGTGTAACCTGCAATAAAACAAGCATTAGTTTATTTCATAGATACCAACTTCTTAGTTATGGTTGGCGGATCTCAAATTGTTTGAAAGATTCCTTTCTTTCTAGCTGTTTGATTTCTATGGCTTCGTTTGATTTGACCTGTAGGAGGTGTGCTGGAGAACTTGTCAATATAAGCAAATAGTACAAGTGAAAAGAAATGAGAAAAGAAACTGTTGCATTTTAACATTAAGTACTCAGTTCTGAATCTTGATATCAACTCTTTTTTTTGCATCAGGCCTGTGCCATCAGCGCATGCGGCAATTTCGCAGTTCTGGGGACATCAGGTGGTTGGATAGAACGATTCAACCTTCAATCAGGACATAGCCGAGGTAGTTACCTCGACACATCAGAAAGAAATGGTGCCCACAAAGGGGAAGTAGTAGGAGTTGCTTGTGATTCAACAAACACCCTAATGATAAGTGCAGGGTATCATGGAGACATAAAGGTCAGTTTTCTTATAGCACTTTTGAGAAAGCTTTCTGTATCTTATGGTTGATAACTTGTTCAAGCACATGGTCGACTTGTTTCATGGAAATGACTTTCTTGAGAACAACTGCTGCTATTTTTTTCTGGAGAAGATAACTGGCTGAAGCTTGTAATGTACCTGTTATTGGATTTGGCATATAGTTTTATTCTTTGGAGGGTTGCTTTGCAGGTTTGGGATTTTAAAGGACGTGAATTAAAATCCCGATTGGAAGTTGGCTGTTGTCTAGTTAAGGCTGTCTATCATCGATACAATGGTAATGACATCTTTCTATACTTGTCTGTCTTTCCGTATTTCTCGTAATTTGTACTCTAAGCTCGATTTAATTCAATTGGTTGGCACCTGTTGGGATCATTACAGTCTTCTTATATAACTCAATTATTTCAAGAATGTCATCTACACTCTAGAAAAGTCCGGCAAATCGTAGGACCACTTAATCATGTTTCGTATCGTTCTCTTCATTTACTAATTTTTTCGCATGCACACACCTCAGTTTCTACTATTTGCTTCTAGGGACAACTTGTCGATTAGGCTCCTTATCAGTTGAATCAAACAAACATTTGATAAACTTGGTTTGACACATTTCCAGGTCTTCTGGCTACTGTTGCTGACGATTGGATCATCCGAGTTTTTGATGTCGTGGCATTGAGAATGGTTCGCAAATTTCAAGGCCACACAGATCGAATTACAGACCTGTGTTTCAGTCAAGATGGGAAATGGCTTTTGTCTTCTAGTATGGATGGCACTCTACGAATATGGGATGTCATCTTAGCCAGACAGATCGATGCAGTACATGTAGATGTGGCTATCACGGCTTTGTCTTTGTCTCCAAACATGGATATTTTAGCCACTACTCATGCTGAGCAAAATGGTGTCTATCTATGGTAAGTTCTCATCCCTTGCAAGGTAGTCAAGCCAAACCGTAAATTCTATGTAGAATCTAATTGCAGGGACAGAAGTGAAGCATAACATTCTGCAGATTGTTCAAAGTAGCTACAATTTGCCAACTTTCATCGCTTTACAGCTATAGAAGAGCTCTATGTACAGTGTTCATTGATTTCTCTGGTTAAAGCATAAGATTCTATTGAAAACAGTCTCTGTATAGAATCAAACTATATTTGATCGAGTAAACTTGTAAAACCCTAATCATTAACTCAGGATTGAGATCACACTAATTTCTTAGATTTTGATTCCTGAAGGCCAAGGATAAGTTTTCATCTTTATGCTTTTCAACATTTGCAGGGTGAATCAGTCGATGTTCTCTCGAAGCTCGTCCGTAGATTCTTACGCGAGTGGAAAGGATGTTGTGAATGTGAAATTGCCATCTATCTCTGCGACGGAAGATTCTCATGAGGAAGATCATGATGGGTCTAATGTCAACAACCAGTCAGTACCTTGCGAGGCATCTGGTCTGTCATCTATCACTCAGGAACAAATCCCGGGACTTGTAACACTGTCATTGTTGCCTAAGAGCCAATGGCAGAGCCTGATCAACCTAGACATCATAAAGGTACGTTCTCTTTCAATTTTTCTAGTGACTTCAGGTTCTGTGTTTCAGATTATTTGAACTTCCAGCTTGTTCTGTGGATTTTATCCAGGTGCGCAATAAACCAATAGAACCACCCAAGAAACCAGAAAAGGCTCCTTTCTTCCTGCCATCAGTTCCATCTCTTTCTGGAGACATTCTGTTCAAACCTAGCGAACCAGCCAAAGATGATGATGGTATGGATATCGATGAAGCCAAGAAGACGAAAAACAAGGGAAAATATGAGACACCATTAATACCAGTGTCCAAGTTTACCGAGCTTCTATATTCTTGCGCAGAGGCGAACAACTGTAAGTATCCCGCCTCAACCCTTTCGGTCACTTGAACAAGAATGGCTAGAAGTTTCTGTTTCCTGTAACTGTTCTGTGATTCGGTTTCTGCAGTTTCAGCATTCACCGACTACATCAAAGGGCTATCCCCATCAAACCTGGACATGGAGCTTAGGATGCTTCAAATAATCGATGACAACGACGAGGACAGCAACGATGATGATCCAGAGGATGTAGAAACGAAGCCAGAACTCATCGCAATACAATGCCTCTTCGATTATTTCATCCACGAAATATCCAGCCGCAACAACTTCGAGTTCATCCAGGCTCTCATAAGATTATTCCTCAAGGTACTACAAACTTCATCAAACTACCACTCCATTAAGGGCTCTCTTCAGTTTTGCAGAAACGGTAACCCCTTTTATGTTATATGTGACTATCAGATTCACGGCGAAACGGTCAGACGGCAGCCGAGCCTACAAGATCAGGCAAAGAAGCTGCTGGAGATTCAGTCAGCAGCTTGGCAGAAGATAGATAAGCTGTTTCAGAACACCAGATGCATGGTCACTTTCCTTAGCAATTCGCAGTTTTGAGACCCACTAGAACGAGGATCACTAGTTGTTTTCTTACCAATATTGTTGTAATCAGTTTTGATCGAAGCCAAGAGCTAAAGATTAGTTTTTTCTGAAACTTTTTTTGGTGTAATGTTAACTGTTAAAGCTCTGGTTTTTCTTTTTTTGCTGTGTCAATAACTTAATATCATAGCTGCAGAAATGAAAAGGATACACTGTTCAGAATGCCTATGTCTGACTTTCTTCAATCTTTGTTGAAAAGATTTATTGTGGCTGTGGGCTTCTGACACGTGGAGCCTTCCTCTACCTCTGGCCTACGAAACCTTGTTCGTCTGTGATAGGCGTGAAAATGGAGCGAAAATATTGCAGAAGAATTTTGTCATTATAATACTCTACACCTTCTGGAGAAATCCTACTCCAATCTCCATGGGATGAGAAAGGATTTTCTCCGGAAGCCAAACAGCCAGCATTTCACATTTCTCTCATCCCTAGCTTCGGGTTCTTTCATTATCATACTACAGTCTGTGAGAGTTTGTAGATTTTGAATGATTGAGGAAAATCCAAGTTGTTGATTATTCTGGATTCTGATAACTAATATACAGATTTGGAAGACAAAGAATAGGTGCACGTAGGCACTACCCACAAACTTAGGAACAGAAAGTTGTGGGTAAAAATAAAAGAATAAATGCAAATGAACAGAATATCATTTATCACTAATACGCCCCCGCAAGACGGAGGAGGTATCAACGACTCCGATCTTGGCTCGGAGAAGAAGAAACCGAGAAGACGGCAAAGGCTTCGTGAGAGCATCGGCAATCTGATTCGTCGTGGGAATGTAGGAAACATGAAGACGACCCGACTGAACAAGCTGACGAACAAAGTGATAGTCAAGCGCAAGATGCTTCATACGGGAGTGAAACACTGGGTTGGAGCTGAAGTAGGTGGCACCAAGATTGTCAGAATAGATAGTGGGAGCAGCAGCTAGAGGTTGACGCAGCTCGAAGAGGAGATTGCGGATCCATTCAAGTTCAGCAGTGGCATTAGCAATGGCACGATACTCAGCCTCTGTACTGGAGCGAGCAACTGTCCGTTGCTTCTGGGAACGCCAAGAAACAAGAGTGGAGCCAAGGTAGACAAGGTACCCAGAGGTAGACGAACGGTCATCACGATCACCGGCCCAGTCAGCATCAGCAAAGGCAGTGAGAGACAAAGGGCCAGGCGATCGGCGAATGGAGAGACCATAGGTGAGGGTGCCAGAGACATAACGAAGTAGCCGCTTCACACTCTGCCAGTGAGCAGCAGTAGGAGAATGCATGTACTGTGAGAGTTTGTTGACGGAGTAGGCAATGTCTGGACGAGTGTAAACCAGATACTGGAGAGCGCCAATAACCTGCCGAAACCGAGTAGCATCAGTAGGCGGAGTACCATCATTAAGAGAGAGAACAGTGGAAGCAGCAAGCGGTGTGGAAACGGGAGCAGCATCAGTCATCATGAAGCGATTAAGAACATCAACCATGTACTTGTGCTGGGAGAGGATATAACCGGTGCCGGTGGGAATGACCTCAATGCCGAGAAAATAGTTCACATCCCCGAGCGCTTTGAGAGAAAAGCGGGCAGAGAGAGCCTGCTGGAAGGCAGTAAGAGTAGCAGGGTCGTTGCCCGTGAGTAATAAGTCGACAACATATACCAAGAAATATAGAAGAACCTTCCCCCGGGAGTAGACAAAAAGAGAGGCATCGGAGTGAGTCCTGGTGAAGCCAAAATCAACAAGGAATGCACTCAATGCAGTATACCAGGCACGAGGAGCCTGCCGAAGGCCATAAATAGCACGACGAAGGCGACACACATGATCAGGGCGAGAGGAGTCAACAAAACCCGGCGGCTGGACCATGTACACTTCTTCCTGTAAGGGTCCCTGAAGAAAAGCATTGTTAACATCGAACTGAGCGATGGGCCAAGACTGAGAAAGAGCCAGAGTGAACACCGTGCGGACGGTGACAGGTTTGACAACAGGACTGAAAGTGTCGGTGAAGTCAAGTCCAGGGCGTTGGTGATAGCCCTTGGCAACTAAACGGGTCTTGAACCGGGAAATGGAACCATCCGGATGATGCTTGACACGATAAACCCAGCGATTACCAAGCACATGATAATGAGGAAGACGAGGGACCAAGTCCCATGTATTATTCGCCAATAATGCAGAGTGCTCAGAATGGAGTGCATCATTCCACTCCGGATACTTCATAGCCTCACGGACAGATAGCGGCTCAAGGGGAGGGGGCCCAACAGCCAATTGAGTTTGGAAAAGGCGTTTCTTGGGCCGAAATATTCCATGTTGGGCCCTAGTGACCATCTGGTGCGAGCGGGCCGGAGGCGGAGGCGGGCCAGAGGGGTGTAGCGGCCTGTGAGAGGCAGCCGGCGTGACAGGGACGGGTTGGGCCGTGGAGGGCTCGGGCCCGGAGGATGCTGAAGCAGCAGGGGAAGCGGGCCCAGAGGACGCTGGCGGAGGCGGGGGCCCAGATACGGAGGGATCTCGCGCGGGAGTCTCTGCCAGGGGGGAGCGGGGTGACAGACTGGGCTCATGGGCCTCGGCAGGAGAGGGTCCAAACGGCACATGGGCTGGAATAGTGAGGATATTGGGGGAAAGATCCAGGAGCCAAGAGTCAGAGGAATGGGCCTCGGCAGAAGCAGTAGAAAAACCTGGAAATTGAGATTCAACGAAGACAACATGACGGGATACAAAAAGACGTTGAGTGTTAGGATCAAAACAGCGATAGGCACTTCGTTGAGGACAATAACCAAGAAAAATACACGGCCGAGAGCGAGGATCAAGCTTGTGAGCGGAATAGGGTCGAAGCCAAGGATAACACAAGCAACCAAAAATGCGAAGCTTATGATAATTGGGATGAAGATAAAAAAGAAGGGTGTAAGGAATGTTACCACGAAGGGCGGACGAAGGAAGCCGATTAATGAGATAAACGGCAGTGGAGAAAGCAAACGACCAAAAAGATGTCGGAAGTTTAGCATGGTGAAGGAGAGTGATACCAGTTTCAACCAAATGACGGTGTTTCCTCTCGGCAAGCCCATTATGTTCTGGGGTGTGAGGAGGAGTGAGAAGATGGGTTATACCATGGGTAACAAGCTCAGAGCGCAATTTGATGAATTCACCACCACCATCGGTATAAAGGCGACAAATGGTGGTAGAAAAATAGTTCTCAACCATTTTACGAAAATCAAGAAAAACCTGTAGAACATCAGATTTTTTCCGCAGAGGATAATACCACGTATACCGAGTGAAATGATCCACAATAATCAAATAGTAATGAAAACCATCAATGGAAGAAACCGGAGCAGGGCCCCAAACATCCGTGTACAAAAGATCAAATGGACGAGTACTGGTCAAAGAAGAAACAGAAAATGGGAGTTTATGACTCTTATTGGAAAGACAAGCATCACAGGGGGAACTAGTCAGAGACGTCGAAACAGGAAGAGAATTGGACCGAATGAGACTGGTGAGAGACGAATGTGAGGGATGACCAAGACGAGCATGCCAAGAAGTGGCAGAGGTACGAGTGGTGACCAAGGCCAGACGAACATTCTCCACCTCCTGAGGTAGCTCATATACATCACCGTTGTTTTCCCCCCTCAGCAGATGCGCCCCCGTGCGAAGATCCTTCACAATAAAATGGGTGGAAAAAAATTCCACAGACACAGGATTAGTGTGACAAAGCTTGGCGACCGAAATCAATCGCTTTTTGATGCTTGGAACACATAAAATATCACGCAAATGAAATTGAGCGGAACCAAGAGAGACTGTGGAAGAGCCAATATGAGTGATTGCCAAACCTGAACCATCACCAACAAGAATTTCATCGGGCCCAGTATAATCTGAGTAAAGAGAGAGCTGACCCAAATCAGGGGTTACATGATGGGATGCTGCAGAATCCATTAACCAAGGCCCGGAAGAAGAAGAGGAGCCCATGTGTGTGTGATGGGCCTGTCGGGCCTGCTGAAAGGCCTGCCGGGCCTGAGGAAATAACTTGAAACACTGGTGATCCACGATTGAACCTCTCCCAACAACTCGAGTTATTGGGAATAACTGGTTCTTGACATGGTATCAGAGCCTTCTGTGATCGAGAGGTCTTGTGTTCAATTCCCGGTGACTCCCATTTGTTAAGCACATGGTATTCTTGTTTTCACACCTGTGCAAACTTCAAGCCCTTGTGAGTGGCTTTCGTTTGAAGGGGCGTGTTAGTGTTGTGGTATATGATCCACGATTGAACCTCTCCCAACAACTCGAGTTATTGGGAATAACTGGTTCTTGACACAGTCCACACACCTTGTTTTCTCGCTGGTTGAAGATTGATTTTCCCGGCACCCAAAAAACATGGCCCTCTCCGCCAAATTCCACCGCCTAGACATGCACTCCAGCTTCCTCACCGGCTCCCCAATTTTCGACTCCCCGAAATGCCCCGTCGCGCCCAGTTTCAAGCTCCAGAAACCGATTCGAACCACCATTCCCAGTTCAATCAAACTCTCCACCAGACGGATTACTCAGCTCGCCGCCAGGTTATCCACCGCCACGGTGGAAGCTTCTGCGGACGAGTCCAAAGCAGAGGACATCGAGTCGTTATTCTCCACCAATTCCTCCAGCGATTCCAACCAGAAACGGAGCGGCAAGCAAGGGAGCAGTACTTCAGGAGCTTCCGGGATTTCGTCGGGAGTGAAATTGGAGAACATAACCAAGAGCTACAAGGGCGTCACGGTGTTGAAAGACGTGAGCTGGGAGGTGAAAAGAGGGGAGAAAGTCGGATTGGTCGGGGTTAATGGCGCCGGGAAAACTACCCAGTTGAGGATTATTACAGGGCAGGAAGAGCCAGATGGTGGGAACGTGATTAAGGCGAAACCCAACATGAAAATTGCTTTCTTGAGCCAGGAATTTGAGGTGTCGTTGAGGAGGACTGTGAGGGAGGAGTTTCAGAGCGCGTTCAAGGAGCAGATGGAGATTAAAGGGAAGCTGGAGAAAGTGCAGAAGGCGATTGAAGGGTCTGTGGATGACTTGGAGTTGATGGGGAGGTTGTTGGATGAATTTGATTTGTTGCAGAGGAGAGCTCAAGCTGTGGATTCTGATGAAGTTGATGCTAAAGTAAGCAAATTGATGCCAGAGCTTGGATTCTCAGCTGAGGATGGTGATAGATTGGTGGCCTCTTTTAGTGGTGGGTGGCAGATGAGGATGTCGCTTGGCAAGATTTTGTTGCAGGTATAGTTATGTTACGAAGTTTTTAGTCTGTGCTTTGTTGATTCTTAGTTGGAAGGTCTAGAAAAGCCTTGGAATGTTTTGGTCGACTGTGTGCTTTGGACTAGTTTATCTATGGCGAAATGATAATCAAGTCTTCACCTTTATGAAATGATTACCCCAGGAACCCGATTTGTTGCTACTGGACGAGCCTACAAATCATCTCGACCTTGACACGATCGAGTGGCTTGAAGGTTATCTGCAGAAACAAGATGTGCCAATGGTCCTCATTTCTCACGACAGGGCCTTCCTGGATCAGCTGTGTACCAAAATTGTGGAAACCGAAATGGGGGTGTCTCGGACGTTTGAAGGAAACTATTCACAATACATTATATCAAAGGCAGCGTGGGTTGAATCTCAGTATGCTGCATGGGAGAAGCAGCAGAAGGAAATTGAGCAGGCAAGGGAACTAATCAGCAGGTTGGGTGCAGGGGTGAACTCTGGTCGTGCTTCTACTGCTGAGAAGGTAGAATGAGATCTAGAAACCACCTTCCATTCTTTCAGAATTTGGATTCATCAATTTCAGGACAGTGATGAACTGATAAATTGAGATACCTCTGGGTGTTGAAGTTGCGTTTCTGTCCTACTTTTGCTGATAACAGAAATTAGAAAGACTACAGGAAGAGGATCAAATAGAAAAGCCATTTCAGCGCAAACAAATGAGGATCAGTTTCCCGGAGCGTGGAAGAAGTGGGAGGTCTGTGGTTGAAGTCAAGAATCTCGACTTCCGTTATGGGGATCAGGTGAGGTACCACAGTGGTACAAAAGAAGACTTTCTGTTCCATGATTGTACACTAATATGCGCTTGCTTTTGGTGTGATATCTGAACCAGACACTGTTCAAAAACACAAATCTTTCAATAGAGAGAGGGGAAAAAATTGCTATCGTTGGACCAAATGGATGTGGGAAAAGTACCTTGCTGAGACTGATAATGGGAATGGAGAAGCCAACAGGAGGCGAAATTGTACTTGGGGAGCACAATGTGCTTCCAAATTACTTCGAGCAGAATCAGGTTTGTTGTTCAAAAAAATTAAGACTGCACTTCCTAGTTGTTACTGGTTCGTGTTTGGTGCCATCCTGTTAACATAAGGTTTTTTGGTTAGGCCGAGGCTCTTGATCTGGACAAGTCAGTGCTCGATACAGTGGCAGAAGTAGCGGAGGATTGGAGAGTTGATGATATAAAAGGTCTCCTTGGGCGTTGTAACTTCAAGGCTGATATGCTGGATAGGAAGGTTTCTCTTTTAAGCGGTGGAGAGAAGGTAAGCGAAATTTGGAACGACTAATTTCACCACATCTCGCTACAGCTTCGAAGGATTTATGTTGCCGTTGTTATTAATTTTCACGAGTTAAGACACTGATATGGACACGTTGGATGGTAAAATAAACAAAGTAATTGTTATGTTAGTTAAGCAAAACTTTAGCAATTTGTATGCCAAGAATTAAAGTCCTGTGACAAATTCGTTAGACCCAAAGTTTAGTGACCTCTTTACTTATTGATCCTGTGTATGCTTGGACTTCTTGATAAGTCTTTTTGTTCCTTGCTTTTCAGGCTCGCCTGGCGTTCTGTAAGTTCATGGTAAAGCCTTCAACTTTGCTAGTTCTGGATGAACCAACAAATCACCTGGATATACCTTCAAAAGAAATGCTCGAGGTTTGGGTTCTTCTGCAGTTGTTTCTTATCTATATCCACTGTTTTCCATGCTTTTATCGTCGACAGCAATTTGTAATGAACTGTTTCAACAGGAAGCCATATCAGAATACACTGGCACAGTCATCACTGTTTCTCACGATCGTTACTTCATCAAGCAAATTGTTAACAGAGTGATTGAAGTTAGAGACTGCAAGTTACAGGATTATGTAGGCGATTATAACGTAAGTTTGACCTCTCTCGGCTCTTCTGATTATATGGTTGTGTTAATTATACCAAGCTTGAGAGCTTTAAGGTTGGTATATGATATGTCATTTCGACTTCCCCACAGTATTACTTGGAGAAAAATCTTGAAGCAAGAGAGAAAGAGCTGGAACGTGAGGCAATGCTCGAGGACAAGGCTCCCAAAGTGAAGGCAAAATCAAAGATGTCGAAGGTAACTAGTGTGACTATTATCTCTACTATCTCTACCCAGCAATGCAAATAACTTCAACAAGACTAGACTCTGTCACACCGAGAAATGAGGTTGAACCGTTGTTATGTTTTTGGATCGTCAGGCTGAGAAGGAAGCACGAAAGAAGCAGAAGGTGCAGGCATTTCATGCGGCGAAGCAGAAGTCAAAAGGTTCGAAGAATTCCAAGAGATGGAACTGAGTATTGATTGATATAGGGCTATAGGCAAGGAATAGGAACATGTAATTGCTATGATCTAAGATGGGATAGAGAGAGGGATACTTGTGAAGAGCCGATAGCCTAATTTGGCCTACTGCAGTCACTCTCTCCACTGTACATAATTGTCAAACAGATAAATGCACAGGCAGGAAAGTTCTGATTTTTAGTTTGGAAATGGAAATCTCCGCCACCATCTGCCACCGGCAGGTGACACTCTGCGTCGTCACGTTCGCCGCTGTAATTTGTCTTTCATTCTGTCACTTAAGTTCATCATGTAAGCTAAAATACGTCATCCACTTTCTCATTCATTCTGTTACACAACTTCATCATCGCAGCTAGAATCGGACATCCAGTTTGTCATTCATTCTGTTATATAAGCTAAAATCCACCAAGCACGAGAACAATTCCACATACTCGGGAAAATGTTTCGGACGAGTGATTCGTAGTACAACAGAAGGAAAAAAAGAAACAACAACGCTCCTTCTCCGTCTGTGACCAACACTCAACTACAACAATTTTGCACCACTCTTTTCAAGTGAACTCTTCCTCGGACTGGACTTCATCAGCAAAGAATAAGCACGCGCCCTTTCTACTCGAATTTCTTGATCAACGACAAGTCATTCAACATCTTGTCAATCGCGTCGTCATTGAGTGACCGGTCCCTTGACTGTGCAATAGCAAACAGTTCATCACTAATTTCATCAGAAAGCCGGGGGATAAACAATTTTTAATTTATGCACGGTTGATCAAAAATGTATCTCTAGTTCCAGAATACTAAGCAATGACAGTACGTTAATGGCTAATGTCATGATCAGAATCCAGAAACGCTAGTCCAATCCATAAAACATCAATTCCACCAAGACAGAGGGTAGCATATTAGAAAAATGTATACCTTTAGAGATGGCACCATTGTTGTCGCTTCCTCCACAGTTTCAGGACAAAGATTACCAAGAACGCAGAGCTGCAAGGGGAAAATAATAAAGGTTCAGAATTTTTTAGGATACCACATGACATCACATATATCACTGGGTTGCCATGCAAGCTACCTCGAACTCAGCCAACTGGTATCGGCTTAGGATTCTGAAGGTTAGGTTAAGTTCCAACATTGTACCAAGACAGAACAAGAATGCTTGGAGCTATGATATAAAGCATTCGCCAAACGAAAAAAGAAAACACGAAAAGTCGATAAACCAATCAACATACACCAAAATCATAGATAGCTTGCACAATGATAATTGCAATTAACATGTCTAATGATCTCTTAAGGATACTCTCGCACTTGTCTGACTGCATCAGGGTTTTTGTATCGGCTAAAGCGCTTTACATACTGCAGTGATTTCTCAAACACCCTGCAAATAACGAGCGTTCAGATTGAGTTAATTAGAGATGTAGACTCACAGAGACCATATCGAAGTCCATTCATTGTTCTCTTAACCACAAGTAACATAGAACAAAAATTCCAGAAAACTACTTAATCATCTCAGAGAAAACTCAAAAAAACAAGGGAGTTGCAGTAAATCCAACCACTTTAAAGCTACTGAAAGCAAACAAAAATCCTGGATTGAGAAGAAACATACTGGGACATCTGATTCGTAGCGTCCTCTGACATTTGCTGTAGCTGCTCATACTTATGCTCAAGGATCAAAGAAACTTCACAATTCATCAAACATTTCGCCTTCAGAAACTCTGTGGGGGAGAAGATCAAACCCTCATCAGAACTCAGAAGCAGATCAATAGCAAATAAACAAAACAAAGAACTTTATTCCAAAATGAGTCACTACCATCTCCAATTTTGAGCTCGGCGGCATTCTCTTCCTCTTCTCCCGACATTCTGATGACCCGAAAACAAGTTCACCATAAGTCGAAGAAAGCAAGTTTACCAATTGATAATACCTAAATTTCTCACTACCATGCCGAACCCAGAACACAGAAACTCAAATTAAACCGAATTCATTCCAATTTTCTCAATCCCAGCAAAAAATCACACAAAGCCTAGACATAGATCAGCAGAAAAGGGCTGAACCCGACATGGTCGATCAAAAAACATAAAGGTGTAGTTTATAAAGGAACTGCCTTTCATCGAATGGCTCCAAGATAGTGAAGGAAAAGACATGGACGAAGAGAGAGCGAAAAGCAAACGGACCACACCTTTGTCCTTTCGATGGAAGCACAAGCTGTAGCGAGAGGATTTTCAAGGTTCGCGCTTTCACTTTCCTCTTCGCACTTCGCAGATCGCGGTTATATATACTAGTTGAATGAATTGTGTTTCCGATTTTCCGCTTCCTCTTCGGTTTTTGTGGTTTTTTTTTTTGGGCTGCTTTGGGTTCTCTAATGAATCGGGTTGACCCAGTAACCCGAAAAGCCCACAAAATATATTTGGACTGGAACTAGGGCAACTAGCAAACGACTTGACGACGGCGAATTCTTCCTCTCACCTTCTCCAGCTCCGCCGTCGGTAGAAGTAGCTCTCCCACTCTCTTCTTGCCACTGCCACTTTTCTAAGACGGCCGAATCGCTTTTCATCAGAGGGTTACAGCCGGAAGAAAATTATCTACTCACGGAGGTCCAAGAAACTCGGTGCACTTGTTCTGGTTTGGGGTTTATTCCTGTTCTTGGTGCTATTCAGGTTATAATTCCAAGTTCGCATCTTTGACGGTTGGTTGCTTCCGAAAATTGATTTCGAGAACCGCTGGGTTCCGTTATTGGATGCTGGTAGTTCTCTCTATTGCTACTCGGAATGAGGAAGACGATGATCCATAGAAACTGGTCCAGATTTCAGCGGCCAAGAACAGCTTATATGACTGATTATAATTGTTCCACTGCTGCTTTAGCACCATCGCCTTACTCATCTTGCTCTGGGTGGAATCCAACTACTCCTGGTACGTCAAATTCTGCTACTTTCATCAACGTCGATGATGCCTTGGCTTCTTTTGAATTGATGGTCAGCATGAATCCCAAGCCTTCCATTTGGAGATTTGGTCAGGTATTGTCCTATCTTATGAAAATGAACGTCCCCAATACTGCCTTCTCTGTATCTAGATCAATGGAATTGGCTGGAGTTCCACACAATGAGTACACACTCAACATGTTGATTCATTGCTTGTGTAAATTAGGCCCTGCGGATGTTGGCTTTTCAGTTTTGGGTAAAGCTTTTAAACTTGGAGTTCAACCTGATGTTGCCACGTTCGGTACACTGATTAATGGGCTCTCTAAAGATGGAAAACTTGCTGGGGCTGTGAAGTTGCTTGATAAAATAAGGATGTTGGGATATCAACCCGATGTGTACACATACACCCCAATCATCAATGGACTATGCAAAGCAGGACAAGCAAATGCGGGTTTTGAATTGCTCGAGAAAATGGAAGATTTGGGTTGTCAACCTGACGTTTTTAATTATAACACAATCATTGACAGCTTCTGTAAGGATGGGTTGCTATGCAAAGCCTTAGATGTGTTTTCCAGAATGAAGGGAAGAAAAGTTTCGCCAAATGTGGTCACCTATAGTTGCTTGATTCATGGACTGTGCATCTCAAGGCAACAGAATGAAGCTATGATGTTGTTGAATGAAATGATAGAAAAGAACGTCATGCCAAATGCATATACCTTCACTATACTGGTTGATGCTTATTGTAAGAAAGGAAATGTGCTGGAGGCCAAAGTTGTATTGAAAATGATGAGTCAAAGAGGGTTGCTTCCAGATGTGGTGACTTATAATAATTTGATTCGCGGTCTATGTATCTCGAACAAAGAGAATGAAGCTATGATGTTGTTGAATGAAATGATAGAAAAGAACATCATGCCGAATGCATATACCTTCAGCATACTGGTTGATGCTTTTTGTAAGAAAGGAAATGTGTTGGAGGCTAAAGTTGTAGTCAAAATGATGATTCAAAGAGGCCTACTTCCAGTTTCCATCACATACAATTCATTGATGAATGGGTATCGCATGCGGAACGAATTAGACAAGGCGCGGAGGGTATTTGATTCTATGGGTCGCACGGGATGCAAGCCTAATGTGTACAACTATTGCAATATGATTGATGGATATTGCAAAAATGAAAGGATAGAGGAAGCTGAGCAGTTATTTAATGATATGATTGAGAAGAATGTGTCTCCCGACACGTTTACATATAATACTCTCATGAATGGATATTGCCTTACAGGAAGGCTTGCAGATGCACAAGAACTTCTCAAGAAAATGTGCTGTCAAGGTTTCTCCCCGGATGTTGTGACGTATAGTATTTTGCTTATTAATCTGTGCAACCAAGGCTATCTTGACGAAGCATTGGCTCTATTTGAAGCAATGAAAAGTAACAGGTTGAAGCCCGATCTTCATATGTATAACGTTCTTATTGCTGGTTTGTTTGAAGCAGGGAGGGTTAATGAAGCAATGGAAATGTTTTCTACCCTCAGTGAAGGTGACTGTTTAAAGCCAACTACCCACACATATAACATAGTAATCAATGGACTTTGTAGGCAAGGTTTGGTAGATGACGCATACAATTTATTTAGAACAATGGAAAGGGTTAATTGTCCACCAAACTGCAGGTCTTATAACGTGATTATCCATGGATTTCTTCAGCATAAAGGTCCATTTGAAGCTGGGGATCTTATTCAAGAAATGTTGTCCAAGGGTTTCACAGCTGATACAACCACAATATCCTTGCTGATGGATTTAACGTCGAAAAATCAACTAAATCATCCAGTTGTCAGAAAGCTGCTTGGTGATTCTGGAATGGCTTGTGAGGAGGTTAGGCCGAAGGGTTTATCAGCAGAGAGAAACATCACCCCAGAAGCTTGTTAGAATTGTTGCTCGAAACACCGAGTTTGGATCTTCCTGGTAGTACATTGTGCATGGTTATGTCTTTCAGCTGACAGCATCTGTAGAAGGTTAAGCTTCCACTCCTTTTGCTGTTCTCGCTGCCTCTCTTTTTGTTAGTGTGTGTTTGTATTGTTCTACCAGCCCTTCTGGTTGCTTTGCATGCTTAGTGGCAAGAAAGTCTTTGGTTCTAAAGAGTTTTCCCCAATTGTGAACTTCCAGCACTAGGTCTAGCAGCTAATGCCTTTGTTGCCATGGAGATGCTGACAACAGCTCTGTTTCTATCGCACAAGTGCCTAGACCATTTGCAACAGTTCCAAGAGCTTTTTGCAGCAAGGCAGGCAGAACAGAAGGGGAAAAAGAAAGGGAAGAAAAAGGCTTCTTTCTCCATGATGTCATTTGTTTGCAGTTGGCTTTTTGGGATAGTACAAATGTTTGTTGCCAAAGTGTGTTCTTTATTGGATTGGATGAGAGGAAATTGTACCCAGAATTGCAATTTTTGGTTGGGACTTGTTTGGATTGCAGTGCAGTTGTAGTAATTTATCTAAAAGGGGCTTTTGGCACTGGTAAACGAACTATGGTGTAATGTCAAATCTTCCCACCCCAAATGCATCTGGGCAGAGAATGAAGAATTCAGCTTACTCTTTTAAGCGGCAACTGAAAGCTTACTATTGCCTAACAATATTGTCAATCATGCTTCATATTTTTTTGGATAAACTAAACAAATTGAATTTTCTTTTACCATCAAAATTTTAATAAACCGGGATAGTCTTGATATAGATAAGAAATATATAATCAATAGAATTTTTTTGGGTATAATTAATTGGATTTCAACGAAAACAAATCATCTTCATTCTGTACAGCGAAAAGCTCAAGTAACAATTTCAGCCCAAAGCTAGTTCATGTGTAAAGGAAATATACAACAGATGCTTTGTTTTCGGTGCAGTCATTTTTTTCACGCATTCAATGCAGTCATCTAATATCGTCATTTTGAGTAAACGATTCATATCAAAACAATGTCAATTGTCACTATGTGATATGGTGAACAAGAAAATGTGTGAATGTGGACAAAAAATCATTCAATAATTACTTTGACTAGTTTTCTGACCCGCACTTCGTAGCGGTAAAAAGCCAAAATCAATATGATAAAATACATCCATAAGATTTGCATATTGTCTTAATCATTACGAATTCTTTCATAGACTTTACGTAGTGTTCTAATAATTAAGGAAGAATTATGATATACATTTGTTTAATTGAAAACATAAGAAATAACCATCCCCATGTAATGTATTTGTAATTTCTAACTTTTAATCTTTCGCTATGTGTGGTCTAATAATAAAATCAAGTTATAGAAGTGTTACATTTGATTATAGTGCTATATAAAAGTTAACTGAACTTACGAAATTTTTGCGTAAGGAAAATTGATGACATAGTGAATGTTTTAGTTAACGATAAAGGGAATAACTTACCTTAGGAAACCTTTGTATTATACAAATTTATGAGTTAGTCAACCGCTTAATTGATAGTAAATGAATTTTCACATTTATATTATGGAGGAAGAATGTTAGTAAGAATAAATTACTTTAGAGAACCTTTGTACAATACAAATTTATGAGTTAGTCAACTGCTTAATTGATAGTAAATGAAATTTTCACATTCATATTATGGAGGACGAATATAATTATTTTTTAATTGATACATAATAAATCATTATCCCCAGTAGAAATAACTATTCCTCTATTAATTTTTACGTCATGCATTGATAACTTAAGATAGAACAATGGTACATAAATCCTTTGCAATTTTGGTCTAATAATAAAATCAAGTTATGAAAAGCCTCATTGGTTGCTATTATGTAAAGTTGACTAATATATGTAACCTTTGTGTAGTAAAAATTGTTGCTATTATGTAAAGTTGACTAATATATGTAACCTTTGTGTAGTAAAAATTGATGAGATTGTGAAATTTATAATAGTGTTACATAAATCTTTCATAATGTGTGTTTTAATAATAAAATCAACTTAGGAAGCAATAAAAAAAGCACAGAACAATGTTACATAAATTCTTTGCAATTTTGGTCTAATAATAACATCAAGTTATGAAAAGCGTCATTGGTTACTATTATGTAAAGTTGACTAATATACGGAACCTTTGTGTAATAAAAATTGATGAGATTGTAAAATTTATAATAATGCTACTTAAAATTTTCATAATGTGTTGTCTAATAATAAAATAAATAAAATCAAGTTAGGAAGCAATAACAAAAAGCTTGCGGTTTAAAAAAAAAACTTGCAATACAATTTGATGTATGGGATAGCTCCCCCCGCTGAACAGTAACTTTGGAACAAAAATTAATTGCTGCCCTACTTTTTCGTATGCAACAGTGTAGGTTGCTTGGCCTTTTAATTAATTGATTTGAATGATTTAGATTTTAGAATTTCAAGGCTAGGGTTTACAATTTGGGATTCAGAATAAGGATTGAGAATTGAAAATTTATGACTTAAAATAATACATTAGTTAATTGTTATCTTATGTTATATAATCATATTACACTAATTGAGCCAACACGATTATCCATATGTGATATTCATCGACATCGGCACATCGCAGGGCAAATACTGCAGAAGAATTTGTGGTGCCCGCTCCAAAAAAACAAAATAAAACAAACCCTTCTCCACTTTCCCATACAATTCGAGCCTCTTCATCTCAGCCGTCAGCATCTGCAGCTCCGCCGCCGGTACTAAGTAAGAGCAAAGCCGCTCTCCATCTCTCCCCTTACCTGCCACGGCCACTTCCCAGTTCCTACGAAGGCCAAGAAACTTCATACATTGTTCTGATTTGGGGTTTATTCCTGTTCTTGGTGCTATTCAGGTTGCAATTCCAAGTTCGCATCTTTCTTGTTGGTTGCTTCTGAAAATTGATTTGGACAACAGCTGGGTTCCGTTCCTTGATTGGATGCTGGACGTTTCTCTCTGTTGCTAGTAGGCATGAGGAACACGATGATCCTCAACAGCAGCATCAGCCATCGAAACTGGCCCAGGTTTCAGCGGCCAAGAACAGCCTGTACGACTGATTTTGCTTGTTCTTCTGCTTTTCTGGCTTTGACTTACTCATCTTGCTCTGGGTGGAATCCAACTACTCCTGGTACGTCAAATTCTGCTACTTTCATAAACGTTGATGATGCTTTGGCTTCTTTTGAATTGATGGTCTGCATGAATCCCAAGCCTTCTACTGCGAGATTTGGTCAGGTATTGTCCTATCTTCTGAAAATGAACGTCCCCCATGCTGCCTTCTCTGTATCTAGATCAATGGAATTGGCTGGAATTCCACACAATGAGTACACACTCAACATGTTGATTCATTGCTTGTGTAAATTAGGCCGTGCGGATGTTGGCTTTTCAGTTTTGGGTAAAGCTTTTAAACTGGGAGTTCAACCTGATGTTGTCACCTTCGGTACACTGACTAATGGGCTCTCTAAAGATGGAAAACTTGCTCGGGCTGTGAAGTTGCTTGATAAAATAAGGATGTTGGGATATCAACCCGATGTGTACACATACACCCCAATCATCAATGGACTATGCAAAGCAGGACAAGCAAATGCGGGTTTTGAATTGCTCGAGAAAATGGAAGATTTGGGTTGTCAACCTGACGTTTCTAATTATAGCACAATCATTGACAGCTTCTGTAAGGAAGGGTTGCTATGCAAAGCCTTAGATGTGTTTTCCAGAATGAAGGGAAGAAAAGTTTCGCCAAATGTGGTCACTTATAGCTGCTTGATTCATGGACTGTGCATCTCAAGGCAACATAATGAAGCTATGATGTTGTTGAATGAAATGATAGAAAAGAACGTCATGCCTAACGTTTATACCTTCAACATACTGGTCGACGCTTTTTGTAAGATGGGAAATCTGATGAAAGCTAAAGTTGTAGTCAAAATGATGAATCGAAGAGGTATGCTTCCAGATGTTGTGACTTATAATTGCTTCATTCATGGTCTATGTATTTCAGGCCAAGAGAATAAAGCTATGAAGCTGTTGGATGAAATGATAGAAAAGAACATCATGCCGAATGCATATACCGTCAGCATACTGGTTGATGCTTTTTGTAAGAAAGGAAATGTGTTGGATGCTAAAGCTGTAGTCAAAATGATGATTCAAAGAGGCCTGCTTCCAGTTTCCATCACATACAATTCATTGATGAATGGGTATCGCATGCGGAACGAATTAGACAAGGCGCGGAGGGTATTTGATTCTATGGGCCGCACGGGATGCAAGCCTAATGTTTACAATTATTGCATTATGATTGATGGATATTGCAAAAATGAAAGGATAGAGGAAGCCGAGCAGTTATTTAATGATATGATTGAGAAGAATGTGTCTCCCGACACGTTTACATATAATACTCTCATGAATGGATATTGCCTTACAGGAAGGCTTGAAGATGCACGAGAGCTTCTCAAGAAAATGTGCTGTCAAGGTTTCTCCCCGGATGTTGTGACGTATAGTATTTTGCTTATTAATTTGTGCAACCAAGGCTATCTTGACGAAGCATTGGCTCTATTTGAAGCAATGAAAAGTAAAAGGTTGAAGCCCGATGTTCATATGTATAACTTCTTTATTGCTGGTTTGTTTGAAGCAGGGAGGGTTAATAAAGCAAGGGAGATGTTTTCTACCCTCATTAAAGATGAGTGCTTACAGCCAAATACCCACACATATAACGTAGTAATCAATGGACTTTGTACGCAAGGTTTGGTAAATGAAGCATACAATTTGTTTAGAACAATGGAAGAGGTTAGTTGTCCACCAAATAGCTGGTCTTATAACTTCATTATCCATGGATTTCTTCGGCATAAAGATCCACTTGAAGCTGGGGATCTTATCCAAGAAATGTGGTCCAAGGGTTTCGCAGCTGATACAACCACACTATCCTTGCTGATGGATTTGACGTCGAAAAATCAGCTGAATCATGCACTCGTCAGAAAGCTGCTTGGTGATTCTGGAATGGCTAGTAAGTAGGTTAGGCCGAAAGGTTTATCAGCAGAGAGAAACATCATCCCAGAAGCTTGTTAGAATTGTTGCTCAAAACACCAAGTTTGGATCTTCCTGCTAGTACATTTTTCATGGTTATGTCTTTCCGCTGGCAGCATCTGTGGAATGTATGAGCTCTGGTCCTTTGTCGTTCTCATATCCTCTCTTTTTGTTATTGTGTCTTTGTACTGTTCTACTAACCCTTCTGATTGCTTTGCATGCTTAGTGGCAAGAAGGTACTCTTTGGTTGTAGAGAGCTTTTTTGGGATGAGGCCGAAGGGTTTATCAGCAGAGACAAACATCACCCCAAAATGTTGCTAAAATTGTTGCTCGAAACACCAGTTTGGCTCTTCCTGCTAGTACATTTTGCATGGTTATGTCTTTCTGCTGGCAACATCTGTGGAACGTATGAGCTCTGATCCTCTGTGGTTCTCATATCCTCTCTTTTTGTTAGTGTGTCTTCGTACTGTTCTACTAACCCTTCTGATTGCTTTGCATGCTTAGTGGCAAGAAAGTACTCTTTGGTTCTTAAGAGTTTTTTCCCAATTGTGGACTTACAGTACTGGATTCAGCAGCTATGCCTTTGTTGCCTTGGAGATGCTGACATTTGGGGTAAACATCAGTTTTTCTATTACAAAAGTTCCCAGAACATTTGAGATAGGTATTGCTGCCAAAGGCAACAAAACAAAGGGCTTTTTGCAACTGGGAAGATCTTGTTTAGCAGTAAGGCAGGCAGAAGGGGGAAAGAAGGAAAAAACAATCATCTTTGTTTAGTCAAATATTTGCCTTCTGGTAAGTTATCATCTAAAGAAGGCGATTGTCTTGTTCAGAAACTAACAAAGAAGATGAAAACTTGGAGAGCTAAGAAGCTATCCTATGCTGGGAGACTACAGCTGGTGGCTTCAGTGTTCATGGGCATCATACAGTACTGGATGCAGATCTTCTTGTTGCCTAAGAAGGTGATAAAGAGACAATATAGAGTTTGCTCCAGCTTTTTATGGCATGGAGATGGTGAAGGAAAGGCCATAGTTGCTTGGGAGAGAGTTACCAAACCTAAAAAGGAAGGTGGACTAGGAAATAAAGATTTGATATCGTGGAACATTGCATGTGTGGGGCGAATGCTTTGGTTGTTTTTAATGGAGTCCGCGACTATCTGGGTGGCCTGTATGAAGACTTACAGATGTGGGGATGGAACTATTTCCTCTTTGAAGCTCAATTCTAACAGTTCTTGGGTGTGGCGGAGGATTCTGAAACTCAGAGATTCTATAGGAACTAAGCTAAGCAAACAGGGAACAGAGGTGTTTTGGGACAGAACTCCTATGCCTGAATACTCTGTAAGTACAGTATGGAACTCCATAAGAGTGCAAGAGAGCCATGTGAGATGCATCAATTGATTTGGAATCGATTCTGCCCTCCTAGGTTCAGTATTGTTGCATGGTTGGTAATGCCGAATAGTGTATAGTGACAAAGGACAAACTGTGACAGTGGGGTAAATTGCTTGATCCTAAGTGTCTGTTATGTCCCGAGGCTGTTGAAACTAGAGAACATCTATTCTTCTCTTGTTCATTTGCTAAAGGTTTGGTTCAAGGCCTGGGGCTTGCGCAGCTGTTTTGTCGATCCTCTTGGGATTCTACAGTTACTGCTGCAATTGAAGCTTCTACAAAGCAGTCTGCTCATGGTCGAGTTGCTGGGCTTCTGTGATGTGTTCTTGTGACTGCCATCTGGAAGGAGCGCTGTAATCGGATTCATGGAGAGATGCACTGTGACATGGCACTGCTTGCACGTAAGATTAAGCGAGATCTTCAGTTTTTGGCACTCTCTAATGAGCAATTGCAGGAGGAGCTGGCTTTTTTGCACTTAGATGGAGAGTAGACAAATAGCCATACAGTAAAGTAGAATGGTGAGATGTAGAAAAGTTTGTGTGTACATAGAGGCATGCCTCTATTCTCGTTGTATCAGTTTGCAAATTTGGCATTTTCTTTAACCCAAGGATCTGATTCAACGGGGAAAAATTGCCTTCTTTCCTCACTATTCTTACGAATAAAGAAATTGACCTAGCGATAATGTGAAGATGTAAACTACACAGGATATTGCATAAACTACACCGACCGAGAGCTTTTTCGTGATTACACTTGTGTAAGAAGTAATTGAGGTTGTAACAATGAATGCATATACAAAAGGCTATGTGATACATGTATTCCAAACTCTTTCAACACACACCCTCACCTTACACCAGGAATTCTTCCTTCATACAGACGATGAAAAGGGAACAAACGAAAAAGAATGATGTGGATGGTTTACAGGACCAAAAAATTTCACCGAACCAAAGTTCATACATTAATGTCCAACCGTTTCGACCTCGTACTGCTGCTGATTTCTTGAGAACCCAATGAGGGAAACCTTGGGAAGTTGTAGTTCTCCATTACTGAAACCGGCTGCTGAGGATAAAGCGTGGGAGGCGGCGTGAGATTTCGCTGTGCAGGCAGGGGAGGTAGACTGTTGTATTTGTAAGGATCGCCACCCAGACTGCAAGAGATGGTCACCAAAAAGCCATTGAGACCACGGGATGATAACAAAAAAATATGTATTATGAACTCATTGTACTGAAGAAGGATGTCAGGCCGGGCCAAGCAAAAAAATTCGCAATCTCCAGTGTCAACCCCTTCAGAGAGTGAAATACACAAATGTTCTAGCTGGAGTTTCGGAACAGTTTTACCTCGTGCTCTTGTAAAACTGGTTTTCCTCAGTTATATCTTCGTCAAGACGTTGCTGAGACCTTTGAGCTGGAGAAGCTGACCATGGACTAGGACTGCTGACCAACTCATCTGAGAAATATCTTCTCCGGATTAACTGAAATTAATTGGGCAGTTGGCTAATGTCAACTATATGAAGGGAACAGGAAATGCAGGAGGGAGAGAAATGACAGCGAAGATGCATTACTAACCAAACGGAAAAACTTGATCACAGCTTCCTTGTCATATCTTGCCTCTTTGGCAGCCTGTTCAAATTTAACATACAGATCGTTATTTGGATTCCAGCTTATTGTAAAAAGGATTTGAATGTGATTGATTAACGGTTTTTCAATTTGAATGGCATAAAAACCTCCCAGTGCCCTTCCTTGATCTATGTAAAACAGTTAGACCACATTCTGCCCTGAAAATCTTAAGAGTTGCATACAGCAAGCCTAAGGGAGAACAAAATGTTGAGTTCACCTTGTGTCAAAAAAATCCAAGGCAGATGGACAAAAAAACTTACAGCAAGAAGTCCTGTACTTCCCGGGAAGCTGTCGGTCAATGGAAGTTCATCGCTGGTCGGAAGCAGTCCTTGCTTCTCAACCCAATGGCGAGCAGCATCAACCAGGTTGCTACTGCTTCCTCTTGTGCCTTCCTTCGCTGCCACATCAGCTTTATTGCCAATAACAATGTAGGGTACAGGGAGACCGCCAGGACCCCCAGAACCCAAAGGGGCAGAGAAGGTTCCAGTTGCTGCAATTTCTGAAGCCCAGTGTAGCAAGCTTGTTTTTGTCCTTCTCTGTGACAGATCATGAACAAATATAACTCCTGGAGAAAGAAAAAACACAATTGAAACCATCATCAGGAGTAAACGATGGAATCAGGCTAGCTAAGCAAGGGAGAGAGAGAGAGAGAATTGGGCTAGCTAAACCAGCTACCTTAGTCCAGAACAGGAGAAATCTAAAATCACAAGACTTCAATTACAACTAAGCTTCTGATGACTAGATGATCGAATCACTAACTTCCATAGGACACACATTCTAAGTTCTCACAGAAGATGTAATCTTTTATGAAATCATTCCAAAGCTGATGAAAATAGTAGCTGCATAGCTGAGTCTGTGCTCACCATTAATTTGGGAATAGAAAAGAGACCTACAATCTTTGTAGCGCTCGTGTCCTGACACATCCCAAAGCTCCACGAAGAAATCTCTCTCACCATCACCTTTCATGCTGCTGGAAGAGCTGCCACTACTACCATAAGTAATGTGCTGCAGAGCAGTAACAGTAATGATCTCGGTGAATTAGTACAATGTTGAAACTCGAAAGTTACAAAACAAAATTAGCAACAAAAATTGTGAAAAGATAAATATTCTCATGGTACCTTGACATCAACATTGCATCCAACTGTTTGAGGAGGGCGGCCAGAGGAAGAGCCTTTGACCATCAGATTCACAAGAGAAGTTTTCCCCACACCTATGGAGGTTAACACTTAACATGTTAAGAGATTGATTTACAAGACAAGAAATGATGCCACAAAACAGAGCAACCCATGCCCAAATTTCAACAACATAGGAAGGTTTTAACGTAAAATCGAGATTCAGCAATCTCACCCATATACATTTTATTTATGTACATTCTCCAACTGAATTTGACTCTTAGACCTACTCTAGCATTCCAAGTATCATTAGTTAGATCCAAATCTCACGCCTAGAATATTCCCATTAAGCATTGACTAAAAAAGCCACCGGATTTGAATTGGTAAGCCCTCATTCCAGTACAACTCGTCAATTGAATCCTTTCAACCTCTATCAATGACAGAAGTACAAGTAAGAATCTTCAACCATATTACAAACACCCAAAAGACCTCAATTCATAAATGAACAAGTATCCAAGAGATCATCCATGATTCTTGTTTCCAAGGCAACTGTTACTTCTAGTTAACTATGGGTTTATTTCCATGATGAATGAATAGCCTCATCTCATCCATGATTACTATAAACAATCAAAACATTACCAAAGTGAACTAAGATAAAAGGCTAAAGCAATTAATGCACAAGCTTTTACCAAAGAAAGACTAGATATTTACCCGAATCACCAACAACAAGAACACGAACCAGACCACATGGCGGCCCGCCATTAAGCTCCTTGCTCTCCCTTTCACGATCCCTCCAAAACATTGTTCCCTCCTTCTCGGAAACTCCCAAAGCAAGGGAAGCAAAAATTCACCTCGAATCTGAACCAGCAAAACTCGAAACT